AGGAAAGAGTCTTGTGAAGAAGCTAGAGATTGAGTGGGTAAAAATTGGTCCAAAGATGAGACATGATTGTTAGAAACAGACAAATAACGCAAACTTTTCTTCCACAACCAGTTTGGTACTGCACCACTTATTTTGTTGTTCGAAAGCTCAAGATATTCTAAATTCTTTTGAGTCTTTAAAAACTCTGGGAATGTACTTAAATTACAGGATCTTAAATACAACCCCCTCAGCATTGGAAAGGAAGAGTTTGCATCACCAAAGGGAAATTGTTTTGGGAATTCAATAGCATTGAAAGAAAGGTACAAGTCTAGAAGAGTGGTCTTCCACAACCAATTAGGCACTAAACCATGGATTTGGTTGTTGGAAAGATATAGGGTAGTCAACTTGTCTTGTGTTTTGATGAATTCTGGAAATTCTGTAAGGTTGCAAGATCGTAGGTTAAGATAACCTAATTGGGGAATAGCAAAGCTTTTGTTGTTGCTTTCAATTGAAAAGGAGGAGTTTGCATCACCGAAAGGAAACTCTTTTGAAAAATTAATGGCATTGAAAGAAAGGTCTAACGATAAAAGAGTGGTCTTCCACAACCAATTAGGCACAAAACCATGGATTTTGTTGTTAGAAAGATATAGGGTAGTCAACTTGTTTTGTGTTTTGATGAATTCTGGAAATTCTGTAAGGTTGCAAGACTCTAGGTTAAGATAATCTAATTGGGGAATAGTAAAGCTTTTGTTGTTGCTTTCAATTGAAAAGGAGGAGTTTGCTAATTGGTTGTGAGAAAGATCTAGAACAGCCAACTTGCCTTGTGTTTTGATGAATTCTGGAAATCCAGTAAGGTTGCATGATCTTAAGGCTAACTTCTCCAAGTGGGGAAATATAGGGCTTTTGTTGTAGCTTCCAATTAACAAGCTCATATTGGATAGATCGAGAGACCTTAAGTTCTTGAGTTGGAAGAACATGTCAAGGTTCATAGAACCAAAGTTGTTGTCGCCAATATAAAGTACTTCAAGCCGTGGGAGTTGAAGGATTGAGTTGGGAATGGATCCTATTAAATCATTATCGTCCAACCTCAAATATCCCATTACCGAAGAGGATGCATTGGGGAACTCATCAATTTTACCAACCAGTAGATTTTCTTCAAGAGACAATGTATGTAATGATGGGAGAGTAAATAAAGAAGAATGTACTGACCCAGAAAGCCAGTTCCCACCCAACTTGAGAATTGCAAGATTTGGTACTCCAGATCTATGAAATGGAGGGATTAAACCATTGAAACCATTATCTGATAGATCCAATTCCACAAGATTAGTAAGATTTGCAACCGATGATGGAATGGGTCCAAAGAAAGAGCAATTAACAAGATCTAATTTTGTCAAGAACCTAAGATTACCAATTGATTTTGGTAATTTTTCTCTGAATTTTGTCCAGGATAGTGATAAGACCTGTAACTTGTTGTTAATTGGAAATTCTGGCAAATGACCCATGAGATTGTCATTTACTGAAATATCAATGCTTTGGCATTTTGGGCAATAAGAAAACTTCAGTTGGAAAATGCCCACACAAATTGCAATTCCTTAGACTGAGAGAAACCAATCGAGAGGAAATTCCCAAGAAATTTGGAGGCAAATAAGAGATTGGGTTATTGTCAAGGTTAAGTTTGGAGAGAAAATGGAGTGTGGAGAAAGAAGAACAAAGTGGACCTGTCAAACCACAGGATGACATGCTTAACACATGTAAATTTGGAAGTGATGACGATATGATTTCACACCATTTTGTACCTTGAGTTGAAATGCTCACACTATCCAAATAGAGCTCTTTGAGAAACATCAAATTCTTGATTAATGAGTTGAAATTTGGTTTCTCTACTTTTAGAGTAGGATAATAATCAACATCATTTCTCCGATAGCAATAATCTTGATTAGATAGATCAAGAGACACTAACCTTGTTAAGTGTGAGATTGCCATTGGAATTTGACCATGGAAACATGAGTCTGAGAGATTGAGATGAGTTAAATTTGGGAGTCCTTCAAACCTATAGGGAAACAAAGTGGTATTAAAGTTGTTTCCAGCAAAATTAAGGCGTTGAAGATGATGGAGATCGAAAATAGATTGAAAGGTTCCTGAGAGGGTTTTGTAATTAAGATCGAGGCCAATAACATGACCAAGAGCATCACAAGTGACTCCGTTCCAAGAGCAATAATCTGTTTTGAGATCCCAAAGCTCAACTTTGGAAGAGAAAGTAAAATGAGGAGAAAAGTAAAGATCTTGCTGCAATTGAACCAGAGCAGATCTCTGGTCATCAAGGCATTGGCTTTGGATGGTTGTTTTAGATAGCACAATAGGTATGGAGGAGCATGACAAGAGAAAGAAGGTAGGCAAAAAGAATGAAATTAGGATATGAAGAGGGCTCATGTTTCCTTTCTACAAAAATGAAGAGAAGGTTGTGGAGTTTCATGTTTCCATACACCATATTTATAGGCTACTACATCACATTGTACTATATATCCTTATCTCATTATTAATTTTTTTATAAAGTTATAAATACAAGAAAATTTACCAATTATAATTAAATATTATATTCCTATAAAAAATTATTGAATTAAATCAAACAAAAAAATTAACAAATGAACCGACAAATAATTAAATAAATTCAACAAAAATTAAATCAAACTCACAAATAAGTAGGACTTAATCTTTTGCTTTAAACTTACAGTATATTTGGATTGAAGGGAAGGAAAGGAAAAGAAAATAAAAAAAAGTAATAGAAATAGAAAAACTTTTCTTTTGTTTGAATAAGCTTTTAATTTAAAGGAAAGGAAAGAGATAAAAACTCAATAACTTTAGATTTCCCCTATAGTGTTCACTTTTTTAATACTCCAATTTTGGAGAAAAAGTTGAGGAAAGGAAAGCTAAAAAAATTTTGTTTTTGTAAACAGATTATTATATCCAACTTTTTATCAATATCAAAAGCCTAGTAAAAAAAAACCCTAATCACATTACAATCATTCTGTAATTTTTTCAAAGTCATCTCTTTTTTCAAGTAAGTTTCACATATTTCTTCCGATATAAAATTTTTTTATAATTTTTTGGTGATTTGATCTTAATAAATGATTGAATATAAATCAACATATTTTTTAAATTTATGAGTTGTCAAAGTGATAATGTGCTGAAATTTGATAATGACCAACAAATCCATCAATGTATGTTTGTAAAATATTTTTTTGTTTCACTTGATTAAAAACCACTAATATAGTAGCAATTGTGAAGCTAGATAAGATAACAAATGTATTATGATCCAAAAATGCATTATAAAATCACAAGCAATGAAAGGTTATAATTGAAAAAAATTATTATAATGAATCATTTCCTTTTTTTTCACTCTTTATCCAAAAAATGATTGTCAGAATTCATTTCATTTCATTTCTTTTAATAATTTTAATTATCCAAACAATGGGTATATGTATCTTTTCTTTTCCTTTAAAAAAATTTATTTTCCTTTCATTTCCTTTCCATTCCTTTCTTTTCCTTTATTAATATTAATTCAAACATAACGTTAGTCTTGTCACAATTCTAATAATCTTAAAAGTTGCCTAAGTCTAGTCAATTAAAAACACAAAAGTATAGCAATAAATTTCCTTTCTTAGCTAGCAATAAATAATATACTTAAAATTTATGAAAGATTTAATCATAAGTACTAAGTTAATATTTGATTTTCATTGTATTCAACTTTTGAATGAAGAAATGAGGTAATATATTCCGATGCAACATTGCTCAAAAACTGATAAAGTAACAAATTAATATAAAATTAGGCAAAGCATACACACTTAATAAGAGAGATTAAGAGAGAAACTAAATTAATATTTCTCATTCAATTCTCGAATAGGTATACAAGTTCTCAGCTTCAACACAAAGAGTACTTCTAAATTGAAAGGAAAAAAAAAATTGTTAAGTTTCTTGTTGGTTGAGAAGGATTGGACATAAAGGCGAAGGAATAAGACACAAAAAAGTTCGGCACCGAAAGTGGAAATTTTGATGATAAATTATGGGAATTCTTGACTTTTAACACAATTTAAAGCAACACCATTGAAGAAATAGAATATCTAAATTTGGTATTCCAAACTTCCTTGAAAATAATTGAAGTGATGTATACGAATGTCTTATAAAATTGGTGACTTTTCAATTCTTTAGGAAAATTCCTTGCAATTTCAAATTTCTTTTTCTTCTCAAAATATCATAAACCAAATGAAATGCAAGTAGATTAAAAAATCTAGAACCAAACAAAATTAAAAAAAAAAAAAGAACATTAATAATTTCATTCATATGATCAAATTGATAGACACAAAAAATCCAATCAATTAATAAATTATTCAAGCAAGCATAAGCATATTCAAACCATAAATCATCGTCTATATAAAAGATAATAATTTAATATGATTAGATACTTAATTTATTTACATCCACAAGTTAAAGAAAAGATCTACTTTATTAGTATAGAGAATTACAAATATACAATTAAATCAACCAATACTCACAATCAATATCTATACACTCTCCCTTTCTCCTTTAATTCTAAGAATTATTCTAAAGCCAAACAATAAATATTCACACACACCCATGACTCATTCATTTTCTTCTAATCTTATGAAGTATAATCAATCAAACATATGCACCCATGAGTACTCTTATTATTCTCTTCTAATACTATAAAAGATAATAAATTATACATGCATACCATGAGTAGTCTCCCTTGGCCCCATGAATGTTTATCTTGTAAAACACTATAACTTTATTTTATATATATTTTTATACCTTACCTTATTAAGACTCACATTATTTATAATACTTCCAACTTGATCACAAAAAATTCCTTTACTCTTAAAATTCTTGTCTTTCAATTTGTTTCTTTCAAATTATATATAGTTAATCTCGAAAAATTCTCAAACAAATCTCTTATTATATTTTTTTAATGTTTGAGTCAATATTCTCAATACAAATACCCTTATAATCTCTTATTATATTTTTTTAATGTTTGAGTCAATATTCTCAATACAAATACCCTTATAATTTGTACGTATATAGTCTTAAAATTGAACAAACCTTTTAACCCAAAAAAAAAAAAAAAGAAACCAATGAGATTACATAGTTTTCTAAAAAATTTTGTAATATCCTAAAATAATTAAATTCCAAGAATGTATAATAATTCAACCATCTTAAATAATTAACAATTAATTTTTTAATAAAAAATTAAAAATTAATTATTTTCATGTGTCTCAGCTACAGCTACAAATCATTTTGTAGAGGTTTATCAATAAGAATTGAGAAAGCACACTGAAAGAGCGTAGATGTTGATGGTAGTAATTAATATAACTTGTTGACTAAATTATTATATATAACTAAATTTCTAATTTTTCAAAAGAATAGGATGAAAGAAAATCTTGAGAATTTGAAAATTATTTTTGTTTTCAAAGTTTTTGAACCAATTGAGAAGATAGAAATAAAACCTCGAGGATTTAAAAATTATCTTTTTTTTTTCAAAGTCCTTGAACCAATTGAAACGGTAAAAAAAAAAATAGAAAATTTTCTTAGAATTCGAGAAAATTTTTTTATTATACCAAATTCATAATATTTTGTCTTAGTCATGTCATTTAATGTAAAAAAATAGCAATATCAAAGAACTAATTCAATTAAAATTAGTTTTATATTTAAATCTAGTGGAATTGTAAATACCAATTATCAATAAAAAAGAAAAAACTAATCGACTAGGATTTTTAGTTTTGTTATGGAAAATTACAATTATAATTAAATAGTATTTTCATATAAAAAATTATTAAATTAAATCAAACAAATTAATTAACAAATGAACCTACAAATAATTAAACAAATCTAACATAAAATTAAATCAAACACACAAATAATAAGTAAGATTTAATCTTTTGCTTTAAACTTAGTCTTGTCATCATGCTAATATTTTAGTCGTTTTCTTGATTGTTACTTCACAATACTAATAATCTTAGAAGTTGTTTAAGTCTAAGTCAACTAAAAACATAAAAGTATAGCAATAAATTTATTTTTTTTAGTAAGCAATTAATAATATATTTAAAATTTATGAAAGATTAAATCGTAAGAACTAAGTTAATACCTTATTTTCATTGCATTAAATTTTTTAATAAAGAAATGAGAAAATATATTCGGACGCAACATTGCTAAACCAGTTATTTTAAAACAAAATTCAATATTAAACTAATAAATTAACAAATTAATATAAAATTAGATAAAAACATACACACTTAATCACAGAGATTAAGAGAGAAACTAGATTAATTCTTTTCATTCAATCCTCAAATATGTATACAAGTTCTCAGCTTCAACCAAAAGAGTACTTCTAAATTAAAAGGAATTAAAAAAAATTACTAGTTTCTTGTTGGTTGAGATGGATTAGACATCAAGTTGAAGGACTAAGACACAAAGCAATGAAAAATTTGAGGATAAATTGTGAGAATTCTTGACTTTTAACATAATTTGAGCCAACATCATTGAAGAGAAAGAATATCTAAATTTGGAATTCCAAACTTGCTTGAAGCTAATTTGAGTGATCTATATAAATGTCTTATAAAATTGGCGTCTTTTCAATTCTTTAGGAAAACTCCTTGCAATTCCAAATTTCTTTTTCTTCTCAAAGTTTCCTAAACCAATTGAAACGCCAAGAGATTAAAAAATCTGGACCCAAACGAAATTAAAAAAAATAAAAGAACACTAAATATTTTATTAATAAGATTAAATTGTTAAGAAAAAAAACCCAATCAATTAATATATTATTCAAGCAAGCATAAACATACTCAAACCATAAATCATTATCTATATAAAATATAATAATTTAACATAATTCAACGCTTAAATTGTCTACATCTACAGAAAAAGAAAAGATCTATTAGATATAGAGAATTGCAAACATACAATTAAATCAACCAACACTCAAAATCAATATCTATAAACTCTCTCATGCTTTTTTAATCCTAAGAATTATTCTCAACCCAAACAATAAACATTCACATACACCTATGTATCCTTTCATTGTCCTAGTCCTATAAAGTGTAAAATCAAACATGCACATCCATAACTAGTCCTATCATTCTTCTCTAATCTTATGAAGTATAATTAATTAAACATGCATACCCATGAGTACTCTCCCTTACCCACATGAAGTGTTTATATAGTAAAACACATCAACTCTTTTACATATTTTTCATATCTAATCATGTTAAGACTTTCACTATTTATAATACTTTTAACTTGCTTGCCAAAAATCCCTTAGAATTTTTATCTTTCAAATCTTTTTATCCATCAAATAATATATAATCAAACTCAAAAAATCTTAAGCAATTCTCTTATTAATTTTTTTAACATTAAGTCAA